CAAGTCTTCAACGACGTCCTAATCGACTGCAGGAGCGAAGGCAATAAACACTTGACAGTTTACATTGGAGGCTCAGTGGGTGACTTGCTTTGCCTGCTTGAAGCAGATATAGGCATTGTAGTTGGTTCAAGTTCAAGCCTAAGGAGACTAGGTGATCATTTTGGTGTTTCCTTTGTCCCATTGTTCTCTGGCTTGGTGAAGAGGCAGAGAGAACTTGCTGATCAAGATTGTGCCTCTAATTGGTGGAAACCATTGTCTGGTGTTCTTTATACGGTGTCTAGTTGGGCTGAAATACAGGCATTCATTTTGGGTACATAAAAGCCACCTCTCTCTCTCTCTCTCTCTTATCTTTTCTCAAAGAGAAACAACATAGTATTAGTAGTAGGCTATACATATAGAAAGTTGGTGGCTGTATTTTCAATTGAGTGCCACAGGCCAGCCCCTCTTTTTCTTTTGGGGACTGCCCCAGAAAAAAAAAAAAAAAAAGGCTATCCCTTTATTTATTTGTGTTCAACTTCAGCTTTCTTTAGATTATTATATCCTGCAGGTTCAAGCAAGTTGGTGTTGAGAAAGATTTCAATGGCAACTTTCTGGCAGGAGAGAGAAAGAGAAGAAGATGTAATATAAATTTGTACATCAAACACATATTATTCTTTTTTTTACACCTTCCATTTGCTTCTGATGATATATTGGATTGGAGAAGCAATTTTGGAAGTATATATGACATAAACTTGGCTACTGTTTGCCACATAGCATATATAGTCTTTATTTTTGGCCAACTAATTTGGCATAGTTGAGGCCCAAAAATCCAAGGGGCTAAGCCCAGATTAATTTTTGGCCCAACACAGATAATTGAATGCAAAAGAAGCTCAATCGGGACAAAAGAGAATTTGTAGAATGCACCAATGCAAGTTATGGGCCACGCGTCATGCCAAGCAAGCTCGTGCAAAAGGGCCAAGAGCATGCCAACTTTACAAAATCACACTCACATACCCATTCGGTGTTACTTGGCCCGATTATAGCCTATCACGGCATAATAAAACTCAAGTACAAGCATAGGTATCGTGCAAGAAGAGCCACTATTCTAACACCAAGCTATGCCACAAGCTTAAGTGGACCCAAGCCACAAAATCACATGAGGCTTGCTGAGAAGATTGTGGTATGGAAGGAAACAAGTGATCACAGGGCCCATTGAGGGTTCGAGGAATGAAAGTTTTAAGCCACTTGGGAGCATTAAAACTCAAACTCATTCCTCGGACCCAAATACATGGGTTAGTATGAGAGAAAAAGGGAAAATGGTCCAATGCCTTAGGAAGACATCTAGTAGCTTGCATACTTAGATAAGCCCACATCAAAAGAATGCTCAAAATTAATAAAGCCACTTCCAGTAGCTTGACGAAAACCTATCAAACGCTGGAAATAACAAGCCAATAACCTAATACCGTGCATACAAGCCCAGCCCAACAACTTATAAAAATCTGGCACCAAGTTCCACCTCTGTTAGAACTCCAAGAACGGTCAACAAAGAAGCCATGACAGAAACCAAAGGAAATTTATGAAGGTAGGATGAATACCCATAGGACAAAAAACTCTACCCATCTTTTTTTCCATTACAAGCTTCGCTTTGAAAACCAAGAGGGAAAACAGGTGGCGCCTCACCCTCATGGGGAGGTCCAGCTGCATCAAACCCTTAGAACCACAAAGGGTTCCTTACCCATGCACCTTGGATAAGAGAATTTCACCAAATTAGATCAAGTAGGAAGAAACAATGAAAAGGGGAAGGAAAAGTTAGACGAAATTAGGGCTCTTTCTGCCTATAAAAGGGAGTTTCTCCTACCCAGCGAAATCATCATACTTAGCCTGACCAAGCTTTGTCAAGCAAGCGAAGAATTTGCTCAAGCCACCCAATCTTCTTATTCGTTTGTTTTTCTTTCTTTAAAACAGAAATCGTTCTAATTTTCCTCTGTCTTACTCCAAAATTTCATTCTCTGTAAGAAAACCATGCTTTTCTCTCTCTCAAATTGCAAAACTTGTAAAATCTTAGCTCCCATGCCACAAGCTCCTCAAGCTAAGTCACTCATCAATTTATTTTGATTATCTGGCTATTAGTGAAAAGAACCTAATAGTGTTTTTCTAAAGTTTCATCAGACTTTTCAAAAACCCTTTTGGGAGCTTGGTTCTTGAACTCAGGCATTTAGGGAATTTTTGTTCGTTTTCTTCTTACGGCAACCCAAGCCATTCGTCAGGCTGCTGGAACAAAAAAAACCCTACAGGCATTAGGCTAGGTAACCTCAAATTACTGGAAACCAATTTCTAAGGTGGTGCTGCTTCACATCATGAGTTTCTAAGAAAGGTACATGGATGGTGGTCATTATCATAAGTTTGTAACCCATTTAACTTTATCCATTCAACATTCGAGTCATTTGGGAGTGTTTTTGGAGCAGTGAAAAGCACTTTTAAATGAGTGAAAGCGCTTCTATCTTGTAAAAATGATGTTTGGCAAAAATTGCAAAAGCGCGCTTTGGGTGAGATCTAAAAGCCACTTGGAGTGGTTTTGAAAAAAGCACTTGAGAGGTGTTTCTTCTTAAAAGCGTTGTAAGACAAAAACACAAGAAGCACTTGACTCCCTTTAATGAAACTTTTAAAATGCCGAAAGTACCCATATTTTATTTTTTTAAATGCCAAAATACCATTTCTTTCTTTTTCTCTCCTATTACTTAAATCCAGTGCATTCACATAAGATATGGAGAGCCACTCTGAAATGGAAGACATGGATTTAATCAGTGGTAAAATTCCGAATTTTGTATACAGAACTTTAAATTTCAGTAAAATTGAATGCCCTTTCCAATATTAATTTGAAAAAATTTCTCGAACACTGGAAGAACAGTATATATATTCAACAGGAAAAGACAAATAAAAGTATAAAAATTCACGCTACACAGTGAACCAACAAAGGAAGATAGCAGCAGCATATATGCCTGAAGCCAACTTCCCTCTTGTGGAAAACGTATTCTGTTCCTCAATATTTTATATTTTATCCTTTGTTCACAGGAAACATAACTTTATTAAGAAAAATTGAAACAACACAAATACATTGAACCAGATGTCAACCTAAAAGACTCAAGAGAAAAAGATGAGAACAGAAAAGAAGGCTCAAGCTAACTTTTTACTGTGTCAGCCAAACACTCAACAAAATATCAAAAGCACTTTTTATGTAATGTAAAAGTACTTTTAAATGTGACATCCAAACGACAAACTATTTTTTTTGTAGAAGCGCTACTGACATAAGCAATTCAGGAAGAAGCACTCCCAAACAAGCCCTAAGGCCCTTAGACGAGTCCATATTTTTTAATCCTTGAAGCCCGACTAACTTGGATCTTTTCCCCTTTTTCTAGTTGTCCATAAGTTGTTCAAATGTCCTATAAGATAAGCTGTATCTATTTTCTGTCATTGCTGTTTCAGACACACAAAGTGGGAAACCAGAGGCTCATAGTTGTAAAATTTTCCTTATCTGTCAACATTTTTGGTTCTGCATAAAAAAAATGTTAGTAGCGGTTGGGTTAGATATTCTTTAGCTAGCTATCCAATCTTTATTAATTACAGCCATGAAAATGTCAACACATTTTAATTAGCCCAACAAAAAGGAAGAGTTCAACGTATGGAAGCTTCCGTCACGACTGACGACCCAAAAGTCAGAAGAAACCAAACTAGTTGGAAGCAATCAAAACTAGTAGATTTCATCCAAAGAAACTGTGGATAATTTTGTGAAACCAATTTTGTACGATGAGAGAAATACTAACCGAACTTACTCAAAAAAGAGTCTCTACATGTATTTGTTTGCTTGATGCCTCATGTTCATTGTGCAAAGGTGACAACGAATCCATGTATAAGCTCTTTTTTGAACAAGTCTCGTTAGTATTTCTCATATTTGAAATGAGTGATATCCTATCAAGTAATTTTTTTTGGATTTGTAACAATAATACTGTAGCTTGTTAAAGTCATATGATGACTTGCAAGGATTAATGAGCCCAAATTATAAAAATACTTTATATAAAATGAATTTTAGAAACACACCCAAAGCTCATTTATAACATAACAAATGGGCTTTTAACTTCTTATAAATTACAAAAATACCATCAATTTCTTAAAACAAGCCCAACCCCAAAAGCTCATAAAAAACCCAAAGCACTCAATAGGGCATCAAAGTAATTTAATAATCAAAATTAAATTAAATAGAGTCATCTGTTATTTTTTGGGTTTTTTTAGAGGTTAGTTTATAGAAAATTAAAAGGTGTATGGTTTATTTATATTTTTTGTGCTAAGAATGGATATATGATTAATTATCTCTTATAAAAAAAAGGGGAAGAGAGGAAGAAAACATGACCCGGAATTTAATGAGAGTGGTCAATAGCGCTTAAGCATGCAATTTGTTGAATATATTAGGGGTGGTTGCGGTTCGGTAACCGCGAATTTTTACTCAAACTGCAAACCGACCGACTATTTGCGGTTTGGTAATTTTTGAAACCGCAAAATGCGGTCGGTTACCGCGAATTAGCGGTTTAAAACCGCGAGTTCTCAAGCATTCACAAAAATATAAATTCACAACCTAAATAAATAAATACACAACCTCAATTTCTCAAACATATATAAATTCACAATTTCCTCAACTTCTCAAGCATTCACAACCTAAGAAAATTAAAGTTACAATTCCAAGCATTCCAATTAAAGTTAAACTTCTCAAGCATTCCAATTCCAAATCCTTTAAAGTTATAAACCAAAAGGAAAATGCAAAGCAAAATGAATTAAAGTTACAACAAAAAAGAAAAATCCAATTCAAAGTTAATTAAAGTTACAAACTAAAAGGAAAATGCAATGCACCAATGTTACAAACTAAAGTTACAAACTCAAGTGTTGGTGGTGAGTGGATTTGAAGAACCCCGTTGTGTTGTTTGCGGTTTTTCGGTTTTTCGGTTTAAAATGCCACCCCTAGAATATATATAGAGGCTGCAGGGTCATGCTAAAAGAAGAAAATGCAGAAGGATCAATTGGTGCATATGGTTGAGTGAATTTTCCCAAGGGGAAAGTCCCGGAGTGGAACTAGAAGAAAATGGAGAAGTTACAAAGAGGTTTTGGTGATGATGGGGAAGAAGAAGGGTATGATGCGGTGGTTGTGGGGTCCGGCTACGGTGGTTCTGTGGTTGCTTGTAGGTTGTCCATGGCAGCTGCAGGCATAAGGGTTTGTCTACTTGAGAAAGGCCGCAGATGGGAATCTACAGATTTCCCAACTGACAGCTTCAAGTTGTTGTCATCTTTGAGGATGGAGAGCCGGAACCTAGGCCTTAGTTTTGGTTCCAAGGATGCACTAATCCAGGTCTGTCTGTACATGCGTTTCCTTGAATATTTCAGGTTTCCATTTTCCACAATTACTGTTTTATTCTCAATAGCATGTGGTATCCTCAGGTTTTAGAAGGTAATTTGGTTCTCTTGACGAGTGATAAAAGAGAAATAGATACATAGTCGTATATAAAGAGAATAAATAAAAAGTAATTCGGTTCTTTTGATGTGCGATGAGAGAGAAATAGATACATAGTTGTATATAAAGAGAATAAATAAGTAGAAACTGTGGAATATGTGCACATAAAATCAATTTTCTTTTGACCCAAAAAAAAAAAAAAAAAAAAATTCAATTTCCCTTTTTCAACGAGGATGGGTGAAACCCGGTCATTATAAAATTACATTAAACTCTTATAATAAAACGTGCTTACGGGGCAGAGTCAAGAAATGAAGTTGAAAATCAATAGCCTGAACAAAACATGTCGTATGTATAGGTATACGAGCAAAATGATTCTGTAGCAGCAGTGGGTTGTGGGCTTGGTGGAGGCTCACTGGTGAACGCGGGAGTTATGATGCCAACGCCAGTTCGGGCCAGACGACATCCAAAATGGCCAAACGACTGGGAGAAGAACTGGGATCATTGTGGGGCTTCTGCTGCAGCCATGCTCAAAATACAAAGTGTTCCTGTGAAGTTTTCTATTGGGCAGGCCTTGGAAGACATCGCCATTAAAGAAGAGGTTGGAGAAACTTCTGAGACTTCTGTGAAGCTGACTGTGAATTTTGACTTTGAAGATCAACGTCCAGGAAGCTCTGAAACTTCGAAACTTCAAGAGATGGGGAGCTGCTTGGCCTGTGGAAATTGTCTTTCTGGATGTCCTTATAATGCCAAAGCTTCTAACGACAAAACTTATCTACTTTCAGCAATCCAGGCATGTCTTATCTATAATCATCCCTTTACATGATATTGAATTTTTTTTTTGGTTGGTACTGTTAGAGACTCTTAATATTGACGACAGTCAAACCAAATTAAGGAGATTTCTGTTACAATTGTTCATACCGTTGAGAGTATTTGTCCCACATTGAAATGTTAAGGGACCTAACCTGGGTTTATAAGGATTTGGGCTACTCCTCTTACTGCCAATTGATTTTGGGGTGGAACCTCAACTTCCTTCACGGTATCAGAACAAGGCTTCACATGTTAGACCCAACGGCCACACGTGCTCCCACGTCACCCAGTATGTATTGTCCACGTGTTAAACTTGGAAGTTTGCCACAAGTACGGGGGCGTATTGAGAGTATTTGTCACACATTGAAATGTTAAGGGACCTAACTTTGGTTTATAAGGATTTGGGCTACTCCCTCCATTGCCAATTAGTTTTGAGATGGAACCTCAACTTCCTTCACATACCCATAATTGCCTAATTGTCTGTTATAGTTCGACTATAACTCCCAGACCATTGCAGCTTGTATAAAATCCATGTGATAGTGTTTATTCAAATATGAAAAGAATCTGTTTCTACATGGTATCTAGAGCCACCATTTTCCTTTAAAATTCTTCTGCTTCTCTTCCTTTAAAATCCTTTCTACGGGTACAATAAAAATATATTTAGGCCCAGTAATCAGCCTAACTAGGGTTTTTAAGCCTAACCCGACCTTGATGGCTACAAGCTCTAATAAAGCCGGTATGTGCCTAATTTTCGAGTTAGGCCGGCTTGTCTCAGTGATGAACCCGTACATGCATTAATTAATATTTAAGTTGACCACTACAACCAATACAAATGTTGACTTCTTGTGAAGCAGGCTGGATGCACTGTTAAAACTCAATGCCAAGTGCAGTATGTGATTAGAAACACGCATGACAATGACGGCAAAAGTGGCAGAAGAAAGAGAAGATGGCGGGTTTATTTGAATGAGATTGATTACGTGACATCCGATTTTGTAATCCTATCAGGTAAGAAACAACAGAGTAGAACAACAGTACTACCACGTCAGTATATGATATTTCCATTCAAAATTTACTATGTGACGTATTTAAAAGAAAATTAAAACTATTTATACAACTGGAGTTTGACTTCCAATTTTACCTTTTAGAATAAAATTAGAAAAGAAGAAAATAAAAAATCCTTCAACTAGGAGTAATCTCCACCCCACATCTCCGTTTATTCCTCTATTTTCCTTTTTAGCTTCCTCTGCTTTTCTACAACGAAGGAAACAAACTCACATCCCAAACCTCTCCTCCTGCTAATTTTACCACCTGCAATTCTATCTCTACAATCAGCTTTGGTTGTGGATTTTGTGTTCAATGGCTTCAACCCCTCAGACATGCTGTTTCTTTACAGCAACGCTACAGTCGAAACTCTAACACTCACAAACAGCACAAATTTCTCCATCGGCAAAGCAAGTCCAAGATCCCCACCAAGGCACCCAACTCTTCATATGTGTATCGTTTCTCAACTTCTTTCATCTTCTCCCAATCCTTCAGTTTCTCCATGGAGTCGTCTTCCTTGCCTCAAAACCTCATGTTCCAATTTCTTATTACTTTGTATTCTAACCATCACACTATGAGGATTACCATGATGGAAAAACTCTACAAAAAAGCAAACTGAAGTAAAGACTCTAAGAAGTTCTTTTGGGACGTGAATTTAAAACTAACTATAAAATAAATTGGTAGCTGATGAGGAGAGGGAGAGAGAGATGGAGGATGGACTGTATAAAAGCTAGATGGATTCAATGATACTGTCGATAAAAAAAACAAAAAGAAGAAGACTTCAATTGGCATAGATAAAGGAAAGAAACGGTGGAGGTAGGGTAGGGTTACCGCTGAGATTGGCTGGAGCGTTCTTTTATTTTATTTTATTTCTAATGTTATTTTAAAGGCTAAAATTGGAGGTCAAAGTTGAGCTGTACAAGTATTTTTAATTTTCTTTTAAATGAGACATGTGACAAATTTTGAATGGAAGTATCATATGCTGATGTGGTATAGTTTCGTACTATTCTATAATTTCGCTAAAAGTACCATGTAGACCTTGTGGACATTTTGGTCTCCATGGAAGATTTTAGGGTTATTCGTTTTATTAGTTTTTGAACTTAGACTCGATTTGTAAATGAAAGTAAAATGATAAAGACATTTACTTAAATGTTGAAAATAGAAATAAAGTATGTACATCAGTTAAGCAAATGGGCAATTTGAAGCATCTACAATGGTTTTTCCAGCGAGAGGAGGTGCAGCTGCACCTCCTTGCACCTTAATAGGTCCGCCACTAGCTGTCAGATGGGTTTGGCGGTTGGAAGGTAGTGGTCATGGGAGAATGGTGGGGAGAAGAAATCGGTGAGAGAGAGATATATATATATATATATGTTTTTTTCTAAAAAAAGTTTGAATTTTTTTAATAATATTTTATTCATATTTTAATCAATTTAAAATTAATAAAATAAAAAAAACCATTTTACCTGTATATTTAACAAAAAAAGTTAACAAAATTGACGGCAAAACCATTTGTCTTGACAAAACTGAAGTTAAAGGACCACGAGAACGATTTTGAAAATTGAGAGATTCAAATACAAATCGGGTCTAAATTCGGGGACTAATAAAACGAATAACCCAAAATTTTAACAAGTTAATTTATGTATGTGTTTTTTTTTTAGGGGGAGTTTTTGGCACGACTGAGATCCTGTTTCAGTCACAAATGAGAGGGCTGAGAGTTTCAGAAGCTCTTGGCTCAGGGTTCAGCTGCAATGGAAATAATGTTGCTTATCTCACGGGAAGCTCGACGCCATTGAATGGTTATGGACTAGATAAGAAGGAACTCTTTAAGATTCCATTTCAAGCAAGGCCAGGACCCTCCATCTCAACATCTTACACTTCATCAATGGGTTTTACAATCCAGGTTTGGAGCTTCTTATATATACTTTATTTATTGTCTTTTGGTTGCTAGTATTAATATTTTAGCCACACTACAAGAAAACAATGTTAATAGTCACTGACATCCGTCACACATGATGAGGAACAATGACTGTTGGTTATTACTATTAGGTACTAATAGTGCTTTTAGTCACCTCATCTTGTACCACATGGTAGTTACTAATTATGTTTCTTGCGCTACATAGTGGTTATTAATTATGTTTTCTTGTGTGTCGTGAAAAATCTAGATTAAGTCAATATTTGGTTAATTTCCCCTTGTGATCCACATGCAGAATGCTATACTTCCAACAGCTTATCCGCACCTTCTATTCAAAGGAATTTTATCCTATGGATGGCCTGGTGGATATTGGTTTTTTCATGGGATTTTAGACAAGATAAAACTTGCAATGGGTTTTAAAGCAACTCAAGCAGTGGCTCTTCTTGCATTTGGACATGATGAGAGTGATGGCAAGATCATGTTAGAGAAGGGCACCAACAAAATCAGCTTTATCCCACCTCGTGATCCCCTTCTCCCACGAAAAATCAAGGTCTTTCAAAAGCTCACTCAGAAACTAGGAGGAGTTCTCTTCATGTCAAAATACCGGAGCACAGCAGTCCATCTTTTAGGTGGGTGCAATGCATCATCATCAGGTCCTTCACATGGTGTTTGCAACTCCAAAGGGCAGGTTTTCGACCCTCTGGCCACGGTCCATCCAGGCCTCTACGTGTGTGATGCTTCTTTGATCCCATGTTCCGTTGGCATCAACCCATCTTTTACTATTGCCACTGCAGCTGAGCACATAAGTAGGCACCTTGTGCAAGATGTTTTGGAGTACAAGATCAGGAGAGAAGGTACTAATTATCTTGGAGATGTTCAAGATCCAGATTCCTTCACTGAGAAGACTAAGACTAAAGATAATGGCCGGAGATCGGTTGTCACGTTTAAAGAAACCATGAGAGGTCATGTTGGGGGCATGCCATGCACAGCTTATCTCAAAATGAAGATGAACCCTCATGGTGAGGACCAGAAGGACTCTGATATTGAATGGAACTTGGGTACTAATATTCATGGGAAATCTCATCCCCTTCTAAGAGGGAAAGTTGGAGGGCATGTAGAATTTAGAGGCTTTGAGAAGGATAATTTACACATCATAGACGGGGATGTAAATTTGTGTGAAGTGGATTCCAGAACTCCGTACACACACTATATGCGTTATCATCTTCATCTTGTGGCGTCTACCGGTTCAAGGTATATATGAAGAGTTAATATTCTCTTGTTAGACTTATGTTGCTAGAGTGCGAGTTTGAACCATACATTTTGACCAAAAAATTCAACCTGATCGTATATGTTAATTCTGGCATCCAGATATATTCTAGAGGGGAGAAAGATAATGAATCCTTATCTCCTTGCATCATATGCATGGAGGGAAGCTACCACACTGCATGTGACATTTGAAAAAGTTGCCGACAAAAGCTCAAAGAATGATGATCATGACAAGGTGATATTAAAAGGGGAGCTTAGTATTTCCATGATGGAGCTTCTTAAGAGCCTCGTGAGCTTTGAAGGAAACAAGAAAGGAAAGTTCTTAAGCCTCCTCTCAGGGACTCTCTTCAGAACCTATTTCTTGCAGACACCTCGAGGGAGCCAAGAGCACTTTAATCTGTCAGATTGTGAACACAAATATTCTTATCCAAGCAGCACTCTTCACGACATAAAAACAGGTATGTGGACGTGAAGAAAATTTGAGTTCGATCGTAACGTTTTAGAAGCCCGAAAACTAAAATCTATGTATGCTTGCAGAAGATGGAGTGGTTATCAGTTGCAGGCAATGGAAGTGCCAGCAAAGTTTGTCAAAACTTAGAGGATCAGATGAACAACGAAACCCGATTCTCCTTGTTAATGGATATGCTGTTGAGAGTTACTGGCTGCCAACAGAGCCAAATGACTTGGTCAGAACTTTGATTGAAGAAGGGCATGAAACATGGCTGTTACAATCAAGGCTGCATGTTCTGAACCCTTCAAACAATTTTACCCTTGAAGATGTTGGAAGATTTGATATCCCTGCTGGTAATTAAAAAACATAGATGAATCATATATGGTTATATATATCTTGAGCATTTATAATTTCTAATGTTTCACTTTTTCCCAATTAATTTGCAGCAATTAATAAGATGCTTGAATTGCTTGGGCCAAACATAAAGGTGCATGTAGTTGCACACTGTGTTGGAGGCTTAGCCATACACATAGCTCTCATGGGAGGTCATGTCTCTGCTAGCCATATAGCTTCTCTGTCTTGCACCAACTCTTCCATGTTCTTCAAGCTTAATGCTTTGTCCACTGTCAAAATGCGACTTCCTCTGCTCCCAGTGAGCCCCTCTCTCTCTCTCTCTCTCTCAAACTCAAAGTTCAGGTGCTAGATTAGGTAATGTACTTAACGAAGGATGATTACTTAGTTCTCTATAATTTATATAAATGTATGTATATGCAGGTATCAATGTTCATACTTGGAAATAACAAGACGCTTCCTCTTGTGGAAACATCAACATCACCACCAGTGAGCTCACGTCATAGGCTCCTGAAACTGATAGCCCGCCTGATACCGCGGTACGAGAGATGCAGCTGCAGTGAATGTGAGGTTGTCTCCGGCATATTTGGGAACGCATTCTGGCACGAAAACATAAGTCCAACAGTGCACCAGTGGTTGAACAAGGAAAGCTCAACAAGGCTTCCAATGGCAGCATTTCCCCACCTCAGAAAGATCTGCAACTCCGGTTTTATAGTGGACAGCAATGGCAGCAACTCCTATTTGATCCACCCACAAAGAATGGCTCTCCCAACACTTTATATATCCGGTGGGCGGCCTCTCCTTGTGACACCTCAGACTTCTTTTATTGCTCATAAATACATGAAGCTGCACCAGCCAGGGTTTAGGCATGAGAGGGTTGTTGTGGAGGGTTTTGGGCATTCAGATTTGTTGATTGGAGAAGAGTCTTGCGAGAAAGTGTTTCCTCACATTTTGTCTCATATAAGATTGGCTGATGGTGATGAGCAGCAAGGAAGAAATGTTCATATCAATGTTGCTGAGGGGAAGAAGGTCTTGTCTGATTCAGAAGCTGATCAATATCAATATGAAGAAGGATTTGGAGGATTTGGAAGTACTTGGTTCTCTCCTTTTGTTGTTCTTCTGCTGGCTCTTTTGTTGGTTTCTCTGTTGGCTAGATTGTTTTAATAATCTTTATATATATATATATATATATATATATATAAGGAAAATTTAAGTATATATGTAGTTGGGGATTTAAATTTAGAGTCAAATTAAAAATAATGAGACATAGTTGTTCTGATGATATATTGGAGAAGCGTTCTAGTAAATAATGCACCCATAGTTGGGGCCCATCCAGGACCACCTCGTGGTTCAAACCAAAAAAAAAAAATAATGCAGGGGTCGCTTGCAACAAATTATAGTGCACTGATTCAATGCTAAAGTTCTTTGATCAAATTTTGTCTTGAATTTCTTTTTGTAAAGAAATATTTTCATGAGGGATGAGGCCCAAGAGGGATTCTTGGACCAAGAAAGAGCAATTGGGGCTCGTTAATTGCTATGTATATTAATTGGGCTTACACAATTGGAGTTTGAAGTTTTCATTAGTGTGATAAAAAAAACAAAAAACAAAAAAATCATAAAAGAAACTTTTGCGTTTCACTTTTCAATTACTTTTATTTATATAATTCGCAGAAATATTTTTGCTCACCACTTTAATCCAAGGTATATTATTATCATCATTCTTAATATTTGACACGTGTCTATGGGCATAACCATAATTAATTCTTTGATTTGTATTTATGAAATCATAGTTATACCCATGAATATATGTCAAATACTGAGAAAGACAATGAAGATATACCTTAGATTAAAATAATGAGCGAAAATGCACTATTGTTGTGAGGGTTTTGCTCTCACATCTTCAAAAGCAAAAGTGTATGTAGTTCACAAGCCACCTGCTCAACTCAAGAATCAAAATAATATTTTCACTTATAAAGTCATGAAACCCAAAATAATGATGAGACAATAATAAAACACAAATAGTTCAAAACCTGTTCAAGAGTCAAGACCACACAAAAATGGCACATAGGGTTTGAATTATTGTCATGCACTAGGGTTTCAAATTAAATTAGTGAAACCAAATGTGGGTCCCAAAACATCATGGACCCCAGCTCATGCATGTGGGACACGTGCAGCCACAAGCATTGTGATCCCTTTTTTTTAAGTCTCCCTTTACAATCATGAAAGTTTTGGTTTTTGGTGTGCCTTGGCATAAACCCATGTGAAAGCATATAACCATCCATACCTTCTTCCCATGGGTTCTTCAGATGAGAAGGTAGGATTAAGATCACAAACAAAAAATCATCAATCAACCCAATAATCTCTTAAGGCACCCAAAAAAAAAAACCTCTCTCTCTCTCTCTCCAATAATAGGGTGGAGGTTCTTCTTCCCAAGGAAGCTGCTGTTTTCACATGGGTTTCCCATCTGTTCTTAGAGCAGAAATAGTAGCATTTGTTGAATTATAAAAAGTGCCACTATATGACATTGCCACTATTTTTAAATGTACGGCTCTACATGTGTCCATGTGAAAATTGGCAGTATAATAACGAAGAAGGAAAAAGAAAAAGGGGAAAAAAAAAGAAGAATTTAATCTGAGAGAAATGGCAGTAGGTGGGGCTTAGCTCAGACCACCATTGATGCACATCACTTTCTTCCATTTCCTCCTGTTTGCTCCTCCTTTTTTTGTACTCTGTTTTCCTTTATAATTCACTTGGGGCACTCCCTCCCCATTGGGTGTGTTTTATAGAATTTTTGTTTAGATGCGTAAATTTATATTTTTATAGCGATATAAAGTAAGAAAAATCAAACTTAGAACTTCAAGTGAAAGAATAAATACTCGTAACCACCTCGAATGTAAAACTACCAATGTTTCGGGGGGGGGGGTGTAGCACTAAGTAATAGGAAGGTGCCCTGCATATTAACATTGAGATATGGCCCATATCAATTCGTAATATTTAAATAGAGCAGAGTTTTTGGCTTTGTTTAAATGTTTGGTTCACCCTGTAACATGGCAAGATTCTCTCGTATCAATCATGAGGAATAAATGACATGTTCATTTGAGTTATTTAGTTCTAATTAACCATATAATTCGATCATGGGTATGAACTGGCCTTGCTTTTTTTTATTCTTTTTGAGACATTAAAAAGTGGGAAAACGAAGGTTCATAAACTGTGTAAATTTTTCATTATTTCTCTTCTTTTTTTTCCAGCAAACTTGTGAGAATTATCATTTGGGTTTGATGTTAGCAAATACACACGCTTGATATTTTTCTTTTTAATCATGCAATGATGGATCCACTTTAGGCACAATATTTTCTGAATCTTTGTCATACTTAGAATAGAAGTTACCCTATAGTACAAGCTGAAGCAGGAAAAGCTTGAGATGAAACCCAAATCATTCATGCATGTAGCTTTTGGAGTTGGTTCCACCACATCCTTTGTGTAAGGCTTAAGATAAAGTGGCTTTTAAGAAAAATCTGTCCCAAACTTCCATGTCCCAGGTATAATTGTTTTAAGGTTTATTTATAACAATGCACTCTAAAATTACGGTTAAAGTCTACTTTGTCTTCCGAAATTGCTGTAAATAAGCCTTGTTTTAATTATTGCTCTTGAACATAAATATAGTATATGTGTAGCATTTCAACTTCCCAAATGCATAAATCAACTAATGTGAATGAAAGAAAAACTCGTAGAAGTGGATTAGGTCAGTTGACCAAGAGTAATGAGTCTGTTCCCTTGCACTCAACTTTGAATTCCCTTTTCCATAGATTAGATTAACTTAAAGTACATTATCGTTGTATTTAAAAAAATGAAAGAAAAATCGTACAAACATCATATTGGTTTTCCAATTTGAGTTCTAGGAATTAAAAAGGTCTGATCCATTTCTTATTGGGATCAAAACTTCCCCCAATACTGGATAAACCATTTTACTGTTTCATCTCATTAGTTTTAATTTATAAGAAATAATTAGATAAGACAAAGAATTACGGAAAAAAATGAAACAATTTTCATTATGGGATTATGATAACTCATCACTCAAGTTGACCAAATATGATAACAGATAAATAACAGAAAGAAGAAAGAACACTTAGACGGCATGAGAGAGAGAGAGAGAGAGAGAGAGAGAGAGAGGGGTATGACCACATTCTCCATCCCATGTTTGGTGTCGGAGAAACTTCCAATAAGTCCAAAGCTTTCCCCGTCATTACTTGCAGTTAACAGCTATTGCAGTGCCCAAGATCTCACGAGCCCTTCAAAAAAACTATTATTAGAAACTCATCAATCCACCAATTCAATTATTGTTTATTTATAAACCAACACACATACATTAGCCAATCTTCTTTCCACTACACTCTCCCATCTTCTCTGTATCAGTTTTCAGAGAGTGAAAATGGTGGAAAGTCAGAGAGATTAAGCCAACTAACAAAACCCAACAAGCATTGCAAGATGCATTTGAAAACCCGGTTCTTGATTTTCTTCTTTTTGTGTTGTTTCATTGGTTGTTCATCATTTGGTTTTGCTGCTGTGGCTAATGATGAAGTGTCTGCTTTGCTTTCAATAAAAGCTGGTCTGATTGATCCACTAAACAGCCTCAAAGATTGGAAGTTTCCAGAAAATGTGGCTAAGTATGAAGCAGCTCACTGTAATTGGACTGGTGTGTGGTGCAACTCTGAGAAGCATGTTGAGAGGCTTGATCTCTCTCACATGAATCTCAGTGGCCCTGTATCAGATGACATCCAATGGCTCAAAGGTCTCACTTCTCTCAACTTGTGCTGCAGTGCGTTTTCTTCATCTTTGCCAAAATCCATGGCAAATCTCACGGCATTGAAGAGCCTTGATGTCAGTCAGAATTCACTTGTTGGTGACTTTCCATGGGGGCTTGGGAAAGCAGGTGGATTGAAAACATTGAATGCTTCAAGCAACAACTTCTCTGGTTTTCTTCCTGAGGATCTTGGCAATGCCACTCTGCTTGAGACTCTGGATCTTAGAGGGAGCTTCTTCCAAGGCTCAATTCCAAAGTCCTTCAAGAACTTGCAGAAGCTCAAGTTTCTTGGGCTTTCTGGGAATAACCTCACTGGTCAAATCCCATCAGAGCTTGGCCAGCTTTCCTCCTTGGAAAGCATAATTCTTGGGTACAATGAATTTGAAGGTGGAATTCCAATCGAGTTTGGGAATCTCACCAACCTCAAGTATCTTGATTTGGCAGTTGGCAATCTTAGTGGTGAGATTCCAGCTGACTTAGGCAGGCTTAAGCTACTGGAGACTCTGTTCTTGTACAAGAACAATTTTGAAGGTAAAATCCCACCAGAAATGGTAACCATTACTTCATTGAAATTGCTGGATCTCTCTGATAACATGTTATCAGGGGAACTTCCAGCTGAGATAGATGAGCTGAAGAATTTGCAGCTTCTGAATGTAATGTGTAATCAGTTGTCAGGCTCAGTCCCTTTGGGACTTGCAAGTTTGACTCAGTTAAGTGTTCTTGAGCTATGGAACAATTCATTCTCAGGTCATTTACCAAGTGATCTTGGCAAAAATTCCCCACTGCAGTGGTTGGACATCTCATCCAACTCATTCTCTGGTGAGATTCCATCAACATTGTGCAATAAGGGCAATCTTACCAAGCTCATCCTCTTCAACAATGCCTTCACAGGTCCAATTCCAGTGAGCTTATCGACATGCCTTTCACTTGTCCGTGTTCGAATGCAGAACAATCTTCTTTCTGGGACAATCCCAATTGGTCTTGGCAAGCTTGGGAAGCTTCAGAGGTTAGAATTAGCAAATAACAATCTCACTGGTGTAATCCCAGATGACATTTCTTCTTCTACTTCACTTTCGTTCATTGATATCTCTAGAAACCACCTCCGTTCTTCTCTTCCTTCTACCATTCTTTCTGCTCCAAGTTTGCAAACCTTGATGGCCTCAAATAATGACTTAGTAGGAGAGATCCCAGACCAATTCCAGGACTGCCCTTCACTTTCAGTGCTTGATCTCTCATCAAACCATTTTTCAGGAACCATTCCAGCAAGCATTGCTTCATGTGAGAAATTGGTAAGCTTGAACCTTAGGAACAACCGATTGACTGGAGACATCCCAAAATCAATCTCCATGATGCCCACATTGTC